TAACTATTAATTAGATTTTACAAATTTTTCATTAGAGACAACTAAAAATTTTATTTTTTGATATATCTACATTTTTGCACCAGACCATATTAAATTATTTTTCATGATAATTTTTTTATAAGTAATATTATCTTTATTCATAATAAAAAATCCTATTTTATTAGATTATTTTAATAGACTAGTGATTGCATATATGTTATAATGAAATCATATACTAGTAAAAGAAATGATCAAGTTTTTACTTTGTATAAGAGAAATTACACATCAAGTTTACATACTATGAAATATGTAATTTTTTATTAATTTGCTTTTCAAATTCAATTATTTCTTGAAGATGAGAATATGTTGCTTGAAATTTATGGCAGCAGGAGACTAACTAAAATTATACTGATACCTCCCAAATTTGCCGATTACGTCCCGATTTTGATAAATCAAATCGACGCAAAATATTAAATATACGTTAAATAATAATAATGAATTCGCAATTTTGAGAATTTATTATAAAAACGGATTCAATTCTGCTTTAAAAAAAAACTACAAATCTTTCCAACGTCAGTACCGAAACAAGTCATTTTATAAAAAGCAAATAACCGGTAATCAAAAATGTTTCTTTCCACTATTGAATTCGTTTGTGGGCTGTTGATAGGACTTGTCATTGGTCATTTGCTCCATTATAAAACATACATTCAACTCTGCAATATAAATCAAAAGCTTGAAATAGCAATTCAAGCAGTCGAATTGAACAAAATCAAAATCAAATCTAAATCCAGCAAGCTGCCCAGCGAACGAAAATACGCAGATGACGTTGAAAATCTATGGAAAGATTTTAAAAAATTCTTTGATACGAAATCTGAGCTGGACCCGGACTTTTCATTTACCAAAGTGACTACTCAAATCCGCGAGTTACGCGGGGGGAAAGGCATTGCCAACTCTACACTGAATAACTTTTACCAACGAAAAACTAATCCGCGGAAAATAACTGTTAAAGCAGTACAGGAATGGGTTGATAAAGAAAAGGGGAAGGAAAATGATGGTGTTAATAATAGATAATATGTAACACGAAGGAGTATCACATGTTTGTGTAAGTAAAACGTATAAACAGGGCTGAGTTGGGCGGGCGCAGATCGCGACTCTTTCTTTTACAAACAACTCATGGACGCAATGGACTACTCACTAGACCCATTGGATTTCGGTGTTAAATACGGTCAAGACCATCCAGAAGTAACTGGCAAGGAAGCAAGAGCAAAATACGAAGAATATAAAGACTTCTACGCTACATACCATCGGGACAACCCTGGAGCGACGACAGACTGCTACGCGGAATTCCTCAAAATACATGGCAAGCAAGGTAAGCGAACAAGCCACACACGTTTATTGGGAGGGTAGAGGAGCAACGGGGAGAAGAGTTTGAATACTGTTACTGGTTTTGTGCTATATTGCAAGAGAGGCAGTTGGGTGTTATTAGTTAGGGCAGAGCTAGATCGTAGACATTTCGGGGTTCGTAGCAGTAATGGAGAGAGAATAGTTGGAATGCATTACAAACACGCATTGGGAGGAGTATAGAATAGAGCTTAGTAAATGGTGGAGCAGAGACATTACGGGGTTCGTAGAGCATAGCACTTAGATATAGACATCTTTTATGAATTCTTCTAGGAAAGGAACTAATTTCGAAACCTACACACGAATTGTCGGAGAAAGCTAAAGGTTTGTTCTTGTGATTTGGCTTTTTTAAAACTAATAAGAGACTAAGTATCGTTTCCTTAGTCTGGGACAACGCCTTCAAAATCGAGTTTCAAGAGCCCGCCAACTTCCTCACTGGGTTAACTAACCGCTTAGAAGAAGTCGCCAGTGACAGTGTATCTTACAATTACTTGGCCGTTGTCCAGTCGTCTGGCTACGGGAAGACAAGATCTATTCGTGAGCTTGGGTCTAAAGGGGTTTCTCTCATATACGTGTGTTTCCGTAGTAAAAGCTCGACCGGTTACCCGCCGGCAACTCCGATGAGTGATGTAATATTGAATGAATTAATGACAGCAGAAAATATAGATACTGCCCATGCAATAGCAGGACAATGGATCCGAGCTATGATTAAGACATACTATGACAACGATCTATTCTCGAAACCTGCAGACTTACTAAATAACAAGGTTAGATAATTTGCTCAATT